ACCTGTGTGACTAAAGCCTTCGCTCAACGTACAGTAATTAGTGGATAATAAACCACGGAATCATAAGTATGAGTCCATCAACTAAATGAGGAAGTTGTTCTGGAATGCGAGAAAAAGTTTTTGTCTAAAGGACCGAAAACCGATTATCTAATTTGTCAAAGGATTTTAATGCATTTTCCGCCACTCACTTTTTCAAACAAATGGAAGCTTTTAAAGAAAAGCCGGCTGCTGATATCCCACCAGTGATTTTTCATCTGGAAAAGTTTATTGCTCTGGGGTTAATTTTGGGATGAGTTAGTCACAAGAAAGCCAGCTTTCCGCTCCTAACCCATATCGGGTCGAGGTTGAAAATTTTTCAAATTTTAAACTTTGTAGAATCATCTACAATTGTCAGCGTTAGTCACACAGGTTTTGATACATTTTTGTTCATCCAAGCGCTTATTATATTTGTTCTTTCTTTTCTCTTTTCGCCATCATCATGTTGGAACAGAGACAAAATAACTCGTCATATTCTTTTTTTACCTCTTTTTGTATAGAACCTTTTTACTATCACGCGATAACTTTTCTCCTTCTTTCTGTCAACGTGAAAAAGATGGACTCATATATTTTTTTTCTTTCAGAACACATTTCTTTTCGTATGATCCTCGTTTACTTCTATCCGACAAAAAATGCAACATCTGTTAGCTTAACAATTTAAAAAAAGACTATAGATTTTCCAGTTAACTAAAATGTGATCAAGAGGTATGCGCAGAGAATCGACAGCGATAGGAATCTCAGTGCCTGTATACTAATTTCACATTTTATTTCCAATATAGAAACTGACTGTCTCGCATTGCGTTCGGTAATAAAATTCGGTATATTATACGGTTAGTACTATAGTGCAAATATGTGATGAGGAATTCTAGAAAGGTTATTTTCTCGTCTTTTTCGCAAGTGTGTTTCGAAAGTGCATTCTTGTATCTGTAGCCATAGTGAGTTTTGGGTAAGCCCGATGTGTCTGTTGTTTTAAAAATAGTGTTAACACCCAATTGAAAATCGAGGCAAGCCTCATTGTATTCATTTATAGATCATGGCGTGATGCAATAAACACGAAGCTTGCTAAAGGCCATTACACAGATGGCGTGGTCACTAGATGGGGTAGAACGCGGTATCTTTTAAATACGTTGTCATTGTCATTTGTTAATCCAGTCAAGTTGTTCTCTTGTTTTTCTTTATCTTCTTTCCATAGATTTTCAATCGACAAAAATGCTGTTTAATAAACGAAGAAGAAGATCGTTGTTTAAAGTCAGTTGTTGTGGCGGTTTGACCTGTTTAATAATGTGCTTATTTCTCGTTTTCTACGTTATCAAACCGTCAAAAAACAAACTGTGTAAACCTTCAGAAAAACATTACAAAAAAGCAAAATATATTTTCAATCTAGCACATTGGCGTGGACTCATGTCAAACGATCGCACTTTTTCGATGAATCGATCATTGTTGTGTGAAGTACCATCAGAATTACGACCGATATCTGATACCATTTGTCGAACATTTAATCGAGAAGACTGCTCTCGTTTACCTTGTGAAATGATTTATTCATCAGAAGTTACAGTAGAAGATGTCAAGTGTCGAAAAGGTGGTCGAGTTTTTAATCAAAAAAATGCTGATTCATTGGTTCAACAGCAGTCAGATCTTCTCTGTAAACGAAGTTTTTCCTTGGATTTATTTTTGAAAAAAGATAATGATTTTTCCTACCCATCGATCATTGCTGAAGCTGTTACTCCATTAAGCGATGAACTATACGTTGATGTATTAAACAGTAAATTTCGTAGTTGTGACAGTATGTGGGGGTTTACATTTAATTTTGAATCAATTAGTTATTATCCATGGGCTGCCGATCATAAAAAGCTAAAACTGTTCGATATAACTTTTGGTTATGATCGATCACTGTACGACCTGATTCCAGCTCCTTGGCTTTTTAACTATGTTGACAGCTTCAAATTTACGCCCAAAAGAATGTCAGTGCAAAAAGCAATTCAAAGTAAAATTCGAATTCATTCGGCCACAGCTTCAGATATTTATTGGCCCAACATGCCAGAGGTAAGCAAATTTCTAATATCCATCTATAAAGGGAAAAACCGGCACTTGGTAAATACCTTATCTCTGACCTTGTCCCATACCTTTTTCTTTCCATATTGAGCCGTTTAGGTCTACAGATAACTGCAGATGAAAAAAACTACTAGTAGTTTTGTATTCGGTAGAGAACAGCATACTTTAAAATACGAGTTATTTGAAATATTATTTTTTTTAACTAAACTTCATGAAGAAAAAAACAAACTTCAAACCACCTGAGTTACTATCAGTTTCAAACACCAATGCACTCTGTCGCTTTTGGAATATCCTGAGGGAGAAATGGGATAAAGACTTGCAGTTTTCATCATTCAATCGCCAAGACTTTACAGTAAGCTTCGCTAAAAGTAATCTTTCTTCAAAACATCGGGAAAACGTAGTAGATGATCTTGAATAAAAAAGTCATAACTACTGCGAATGAATCTACTTCAAACTCATTCTTTTAGAGTTGTTAGATGTTTCTTATATATTTTTCAGAAATAAAAATTTTAGAAAAAAGTGGTGAATCAAGCCTAGACCTGCACACCTCGCCGCTGCCGAAGGCGTCGGACTTTTTTAGCACTTCGGCGCCGTCGTCGAAGGCGTCGAAGTTTTGTGGAGGTTCTCGCTGTAAAAGCTTATTTTAGCCACCGCCGGTAAAAACATCATACGAATTTGGCGGAATCACTTGTTCAGTATGTCTCTGTCATCTGTATCTGCATAGGCATTGCTCATATAAGATGAGAATATTAATTAGCCATAATTTCAATGACCTCATACACAACAACCCTTTTCTAGAAAGTTTAGCTACCAATAGATATCCATCGTTGAAAAAACAAATAAAAATAAAATAAAAATTGTTTGATGAAATTGACAATGGCTCTTGGCTGCCGCCGACGCTGATCGGAAAACTTCTGTTACACGCCGCCACCGATTTTCCGACCGGCGCACAGCTCTAATCAAGCAATCGAATAGAATGCAAAAGTCTTAATCAAATACATTTTTTACACTAGTAGAATGATTGAGTCATTTAGATGAGATACTTACTATATGCTCGTTTTCGACAAGAAATTGTCTACCGGAAAACTGTTTTTTCTTTGAATTACATGATTCTCACCGAGAAAAAATTTGCGAAGTCAACGGTACTCCCGGTTCTTTTTTACCCTCTTGGAAACCCGGAAAGCTGGTGTCTGACAAGGGCTGAAATTTATACCACAGATAGAACATCGAAAAAGAAAATTGATATTTTCGTTTGCCCAGAATTTTCTGACTTGTTGTTCTATGGGTTGTCTGGAAAATTTCGTTTTCATCCAGTCATATAATGACCTCCTCTAAAAAAATGCTCTGATTGAGCTGAAGATTTTACCACAGATACCGCATATTCTATCTCAGATTCTAAATATTTCTGTGCGAAAAATTTGTGTTGCTTCTCGAGATGTTCGAAAAATACTAAAAATTCCAAATAAGAAAATTGGCTTTTATCCCAATCTGAGATAGGATCTACAATATTTTTGTTATTCAGCTCGATCGAATCATTTTTTTTTGAGGCACTATAATGTGACTGAACTGAAGGAGCTATGGAAAAACGCGTAGTGAGAAAAGCCCATTTTGTATAAAAATGTGAAAATTCTGGAAGCCGTCTCATTTTAAAGAGAAGACTCTTTTCTATCCGACTATATATTAGAAAAAATTAAAAAAGTCATCACTTCTTGAATAAAGGTTATGGAGTACTGGGAGTTGTCTCATCATGTAGCCCAGGCCTTCCTCTACATTAGGATATGTTTAGGTCAAAATCGAAATATTTTTCAAAAAAAACGGGATACCCTTAAGAAGAACTCCGCTTCTACTTCCTAAGTTAACGTCACAATTTTGTTTTCGGCGAAAATCATTTATACCTTTTCTTCGATGATGATTAACTGACAACATGTTTCCGCCACAATGTGAATTTGACGAGTGCGGCAGAGCGCGTCATTAGTAGCGAGCAGTCTGTGTGTTGGTGACAGGTAGACGATTATGAGGCAAAAAACCGAGACTTGTCATGATCCAGTAGATTATTAGAATTACTGAGTCCGGCTTCCGTTCTAATCCTGTCTGGTCATCAGCAGTGGTTTGTGTGTTCTCTTTTGTGCATGTACCGTCTTGTTCTACTACACATCGGTATCTGTACTTGCTCAGGTACACACCACACGAAAAGATGATAACAACAATACGCCGTACGTAACAGCAGCAATCCTATGGATGAACAGTAATTGTAAAACGTTATCAGACCGTACGGAATATATGCTTGAATTAATGAAATATATCGATGTTGATAATTATGGTAGTTGTGGCCAGAACATCCGCAGTTTACCGAAACATATTGTTAAAATTCAAGATTCGGAAGGACGAAATTTAAAAGATCGGGATTCGTATAATTGGGAAGCAGGAAAATTGGCATTGTCCAGTGAATATTTGTTCACCGTAGCTATTGAGAATAGTCTAAATCATGATTACATAACAGAAAAATTATGGCATCCATTAGTAGCCGGGAGTGTACCAATTTATCTTGGCGCCCCAAATGTTGCCGATTGGTTGCCATGCGAAAACTGTATTATTGATCTCAGGAAATTTAAAACGCCAAAAGATGCTGCTTTACATCTAAAAGCAGTTGCAATGAATAGAACACTCTATGAAACCTATCATCAGTGGCGAAATAAACCCGTAACTAAAAAATTTCAGACTATGCTCGATTATTTCCAAGCAGTTAATGATTATTCACTTGACTGTATTCTATGCGATATGTCCAACCGTGTTAGTCAAGGAGAAAGTTCGACGGACATCAAAAGAAAACTTATGAAAACAATCGGCCGTTTTTAACCTGTGATGATCGTTTAGATACCTTTCAATGGAATGTTCTGATTCAACGGATACTTCAAATGACAAAAACATCAAGTCGTGTTTAACAATCATTGTTTAGAACAAAATTCGATTGATTTAGACAAAATTAAGATTGTGCGAAATATTATCGATCGCTATTTATTTACGGAATCATCGAACATGCATGCGCTGCATTACTGTTATCATTACTCTCAGGTAACCTTCTATCCAGATAGTTGAACGACAACGAGGAGGAAGAATAATAAATAATTTTACTTTTTCTTCTTCCTTGCTGTCAGTATCTACGCCTTCCGTTTCACCATCTAAATTGTACATATATTGCAAACTTTTGTATATAGTGAAGTTTATTGTTCATATGTGAAATATTTTTCTGTCTAGCTTTCTGTTTTTGTTAATTATTTTCTCTTCATGTGTTTGTGATAGTATGTAGAACACGGCATCTCACCTCCTTTTTCACTTGTATCTAACCTGCTATAGACATCTTCGAGGTTGTAACGTGATAAATTTTATTGAATCAAATAATTTAGAAACAATATTTGCTCTTAGAATTTTTAAATTTCAATATGCTGTCTTACAAGAAACCCATCTTATTAAACCCGTTCGAAACCATTTAAAAACTTTCTTATCACAGTTTAAACTAAAAAGCGAATCAATGTACATTTAAACCTAATTCATTAGAACAAAACAGTTCTGTTTTAAGGCTTCTTACACACATAGATTCCTAGATTTTTGTGAATCTTCTGGTTGCTGCTTTCATCAAAAGAATGTACGTTTACTTATCTGTAATATTGTACATTTTATATTTAATCCTACTGGATACAAAAAGATAAAAGTGTCTGTTATGAGAGCGCTAGACAGAAATCTTTTAACAAATCTGACAAGAATTCTTTCATATACTTCCAGATCCTTAAATAAGATGCCGCAGGAAAATGCAAAGAATTTGGCAACAACATATAAGGCTTATATAATACATTTGTACGAACGTTTTAATTAATTCTTATGTATTTCTTATCAGACTTTCTACAGGCTCATTGAGCCTGAAAATCGATATTTTGCATGTAATATTTAGGACTTTCAGCAGAGGCGTCACATAAAACAGAAAGTAAATGAGATTAGATTTTATTTTACATAAGATTGTTAAAAATTGTATGAAGATCAAGAATTAGTTAAAAAATTGGAAAAAATTCATCTGTTAATTCAAGAATTGGCTTACCAATGGATTTTCTAACGATGATCAGAAGAGCGATTACTTCTTCACGAAAACAGAGAAAAAGAAAATCTAGTACACACTGTTCGAAAGAACGTTTCAAATACTCTTAGATGTAATACTCAGTCATTCTTCAATCTGTCTTTCAACAAGAAAAGAACTGTTCCGAAGAAGATAGAGAGCAGACATTTTGACAATTTACCAGAATATGTTTAGTGATGCTTAATTATTGAATTTTTTCTCGATAAAGTTTTGCGAGAGAAAATTTTGTTTGATGCATATTTTGTAGTTCAAACTTTGCTCTTTCAAACACAGAAAAAGAGAAATCTTTAGAATAGTGGAAACATGAAGAAAGGGTAGTTCTTACCACCATTACAGAGAGGTTTGTCAAGGCATATCTCATTTGGAAGAGAAGTCAGTTCTTAACAAGAGTGTCACATATCAAAAAATATTAGATGTCGGAGCGGGGTTCGTAGCTCGCTTACAAAATTTCGTTTTCCATGGATTCTAAAGGACGTTTGCCAGCCGATTTCTTCTGGGATGGCTGAACCGATCGAACCGCAACTTTCATGATATATACTAGACATGATGACGAATAAAAAATGTCATTAGACCCCTCCAGAGTGTCAGGTACCTTCCTCCGTAGTGACTTTACTCATAATTCGTCCATGAGTATTCATATGAGTTCTACTAACAACTTTTGAGTATTTTTACTCGATGAGTACTCAGAAAATATTCATTCACCATTTTGTTTTGCAAAATGAAACTGTATAAATAATGCAGAATTTAGTAAAGAAACATAGAATATTTATATGATATTTTTCTCGCTGGTCTCTCTGTATATAGTCAGAGATGGACTCGTCTGCGAATAGACTTGTAGTCCAACTCTGACTGCTGATACCAGATGAGCAATGCTGCTGAGTATTTTGCCAAAAGTTATATGCGTACTCAATACTATGGCATGAGTATTCACAGTCGTGTGTAAGTATCGTCGTGCATGAGTATTCATAGTCACGCGTGAGTAGTCTACTAGAAAAACCGGACGAGTATTCATACATTTTGAGTAATCATTGAGTACTCAAGAGCGAGTAATGAGTATTGTGGGGACGACTGTGAATACTCATGCTAGAGTATTGAGTACGCATATAACTTTTGGCAAAATACTCAGCAGCATTGCTCATCTGGTATTTTCATACAGAGGAGTGATCTCAGGCAGTCAGAGTTGAACTACAAGTCTATTCGCAGACGAGTCCATCTCTGACTATATACAGAGAGACCAGCGAGAAAAATATCATATAAATATAAATATCTTGAAATACGAGTGAAATTATATAGCATTTTGACATCAAAGAGGATAGAGTACAGTACTGCTATAAAGATCATGGTAGTAGAATTTTACCAAATTCCCACACTTTGATTTGATTATTCGAGCTTTCGAAAGCTTCTGCTTTCACCTTCAGGAAAAAACAAAATGACATAACTATTGAGAAATAGGTTCAAAGTACATAAGAGAGAGAGATAGAGAACAATGATGATTTGTATTCTTATTGAAACGGTCAACGGACATATTTATTCGAATAAATATGTTCGAAGAACATTATTTGTCCCGCAAACTCTCCTAAATGGAGAGATAGAAGTGAAAGTTAAGTGATTTAAAACACTCTTAATCGATGTTTAACTTCATTCAGAGAGTGTCCATGGCTTTCTTTTGTAAATAATGCTTCTTTTATCACACGTCTTCGCCAGTCGGATTCCAAAAACAGAGTTTCACATTTTGTAAAATCAAATTTATGATTGAAATGTAGGACGCGTTGTGCTACTCCCGAATTTGCAGTCATATTTCGAATGTCTCTTTTATGTTCAGTCATGCAGGTCTGTTTGATATTTATTCGAATAAATATGTCCGTTGACCGTTTCAATAAGAATACAAATCATCATTGTTCTCTATCTCTCTCTCTCTTATGTACTTTGAACCTATTTCTCAATAGTTATGTCATTTTGTTTTTTCCTGAAGGTGAAAGCAGAAGCTTTCGAAAGCTCGAATAATAAAATCAAAGTGTGGGAATTTGGTAAAATTCTACTACCGTGATCCTTATAGCAGTACTGTACTCTCTCCTCTTTCGTCTCATGAAAACTGCTCTACCTAAATCATTTTGACATCAATTTCGAAATAATTGATTTTCTCAGCAATGGAGAGGAATTTTCAAAAAAGCTCTTCATACTTTTGAACCACCAAGGATGACCGTTCTAGCAGCGTGTGAATCAAAGGTATAGCTCTTCATATAAAAAACTAGATAGGTTTACAAGATGAGTCACTGAGTTCTAACGTCCGTCAGCTTCGACGCCCACTGGTGGCCAAGGGTTTATTTCTAAAATGAACTGAAACCCATTTTCTGAATCAGTTTTTCGTGCTGATTCAGAAAAATTTAGTTCGAATCCTTTAGCTTGCGACACAACTTCAAAGAAATCAGTTTTATGATATATGTCGGTTTTTGAGACCTTCATGGTATTGTGAGATTTTCTCCGTGAAGAAAGGGGTTTTGAACGTTTGGAAGGTGTTGCTCGTGATCAGCGTCAAAAGAGGAATCAGAATATGTATAGAAAAGTCAACAAGAACCAACAAAACAACAATTACGACTTCGAATAAAGCCGAAACATCTCCGCAGATCTAATAAATTTTCGGACTACATCTGAAACGTTTAGAAAGATGTGCCGTAAGATTGATTCGACTCATTCTTTTATCGAAATCTTGGCAACAAAAAATAGCGACCCTAGTATTGAGACAAAAGCACACTCAACAACTGTATTGAGAGACGTTCACACTCTAAACTGATAGAAAATGACAACTATGTAGCTGAGATGATGGTACCTGCAGCTTAACGATAGAGCAGCCGAGCAGTTATCGGAAGATGCGCGACTAAGCACTATTAGAAAGTACCAGTTGGGAATATTTCCTGGTTAGTTACTACACTGGCATGATTGTACGCAAAAGAGAATTAATTGACACATTATAGTCTTTCGTACATGTTTCCAGGTTCAGTTAAAGAAAAGTTGTTATAGCAAGGCTAGCTTTGAAAATAACCATTGTTTTACTCGGGTCAAATATTGAACTTAGATCGTATTCATTGCGTAGATTAACAATAAAAATTCGATATGCACGTTCTATTTCGCCATACAGAAAACATAACTGTCCGAGAAGATATTGACCAATATGAAAATCTTTGATTTCATCAATGTGTTGAATTAGATTTATTAGTCCTTGACATCCTTCGATATATCGATTCGTATACTTATAAGCTCGACATAACAGATAGAGTATGTATGTTTTCGTTGATATATTGATAGCATTATAAATATGCAACAAATGCTGAATATCTTTTGAATGTATTGGTTTGTGGATAGAATAAATTGTAATAAAATCTTTATTGAATAGATGATATTCGAATTTAACAACAGTTTTAAGAAGGACAAGTGCTTCTTCATAACGTTCTAACTGGCATAAATAGAGTGCATAAGCTAAGTAACATCGTATTTGTTGTGCTTCTGAATTAATTCTTGTTTCAAGTGCACCTTGAAATGCTTTGCGAAAATAGTTTAACTCAATATTTCGATTTTCTTCAGTACTGCTACATGATTTGATATAATGCAGGTAACCTAACGATCTTAATAAGATGATATTTTGACTTGAATTTGTGTCATCATTGGTGGATGTGAAATAGTCAAGTAATTCTTCTTGTACATGTATCATTTTATCCAATAATGATTTCTGACATTGATTATAAACAAGCGAACAATAATCATGCTCTGTTATTAAATTACCTGTTTCAAGATCATTTATGGGTAAACGCTCGAGAAACGTATACCATATTGTTTGTAAAAGTTTTCTTCCAATATATGGCTTTGCTTCGAGAAAAAGGCTGATAGAAAGTTGTTCAATAACCAACTCACAATCACGCTTCAATGTTGTATCATTGGCGTCGTTATATAAGTGTTTCAATACCGGCTTGAATATCCGTCGTATATTAAAATAGAACGGTAAGCAGTAGTCTAGTTTATTATGTTTTAAAATAGTTTTAAATAAAATCCGCATTGGATTTTGTTTTAAATATTCGATTTTTTTAATGATAGTTTTTATCTTCGACGCTGAAAAATATTCGGAATCAATCGAGTCAAATAAGTTATTTGTCCGAATAAAGTAACTGTATAATTCTTGTTTTAATACTGAATTCAACAATCTTTCAATTAGTCTGTCTAATTTTTCAGCGATGTTTCCCACTTTAACTATAAGCGTCTTTTTATCATCCATAAACAACGTTGAATATTCTTCACAACACCAAAACAATATAGTTTTCAAGTAGTAGGTTTTTAACGGGAAATCATTATCTAGATGTTTTTTACATAGTAACTTAAACATGATGTAGGTTTTACGGGTGTAGTACGGTATTTCGTTTGCTAGTATTAATTCAGCCAATGAAAAGGAGTAGCGCCATTCAATGTTAGGGTTATGGCTAGTCGCATGAGCTACTGGAACTACATGACACCCACGTTTAACGATATCTTGAATAGTAGCCGCAGTTGGCCAGTCATTTGAACGCTGGCGTTCAATCCATTCTTGAATCGGCCACGAGAGACAATGTAAAGCAATAACAGAATCGTGTGAATATATCGCTTTCAGTCCTGATGTTATAAATTGTAAATTAATTTGCTGTGCTGTGCTTTTTTTCATTCTCCTTTTTTTTTCATTGTTGAAAGGTTGTATGTGTGATTGTTCGTAAGCGGGTAAATATTCTCACAGTTAATTAAATATTATTAATTTATTCACTGATTATACAATGGCTACTCCTGATCAGGCTCGTCT